TAACAACTTCTTGGTGTCTTATAGCAGTTACGTAATTTCTAATTTAGACACTTTGGATGGCAATTTGTTATGTGCTGCTACATATGTCACCAGTAGATAAACACAAGGGGATGTAAATTAAGAGATCAGTAGGAAATAAAATGCAAATGTGCATTTAATCAGAATTCAGTGTCTCTTCAACGATAAATACATGTAAAATACATTCTTTATTTTGCCAAAGTATTTGGGTTTTTTGACAGTGCTATTGCTGGTTTAGCAATGTCTCAGCTAAGTAAAGGTATACCTCCATTGATGAAATCAATGTGTTGCTGGGAAGAAACAATACAGGAAAAATAGAATTAAAAGAGAACCAGTGTGGCATAGTGGTTTGATTGTTGTATTAGGACTCAAGGCCAGGGGTCAAATCCCCACTCAGCTATTAAACACATTGAGTGATCTCAGGTGATTCACATTCTCTCAGTCTCAGAGGAAGTTAGTGGCAACACCCCACCACCACCAACAACAACTCTTGCCAAGAAAACCCTGTGATAGGGCCCAGGGTTACCTTAAGTCAGGAATTACTTGAAAGCACACAACAACCACCACATAGAAGCACAGCTGAGCATGGTCCAGCAAATGTTTTATTAAATACCAATAATACTCCCATGTGAAATAAGATGGCAAGGTCATCAGTGAATAAAAACATTTTGAACCTTCTAGAGCAGGTATGGGCAGGTATGGGCAAACCCAGGCCCAGGGGCCAGATGCGGCCCTTGAGATGTTTTCTCAGGCCCTGCTCTCTCTCACTATGCTATCCTTCCTTCATTCTCTACCTTCCTTGCCTCCCTCTTTCTCCCTCCCTCCTTCCCTTCCACCCTGTAGTCCTTCCTTCCTTCCCTCTTTCTTCCTTCCTTCCCTCTCTCTTTCTCCTTCCTTCCCTTTTGCCTTTAATTCCTTCTGTCTTTCCTCTCTCCATTCTCTTCCACCCACCTTCCTTCCTTCCTTTCCTTCCTCCCTCCCTCCCTTCCTTCTCTCCCTCCCTTCTCTTTTTTCTTCCTCCTTTCCTTCTGAGGGATGTTTAGCTGGGAGAAGAGAAAGTAGAGAGGGAACATGAGAACCATGTTTCAAGATTTAAAACGGTGTCCCATTGAGGAGGACGAGGGGGTAAACTGATTTTCTGCTGTTCTAGAGACCAGGGCACATGGCAGCAATGGCTTCAAATGGCAGGGAAAGAGATTCGACTGAAAAGATTAGGAAGGACTTCCTGAGAGTAAGAGCTGTTGGAGAGTGGCATAGGCTGCCTCGGAGTGTGGTGGAGTCTCCTTCTCTGGAGGCTTTTTTGCAGAGGTTGTCTATTGGGAGTGCTTTGATTGTGCCTTCTTGCATAACAGGAGGTTGGACTGGATGGCCCTTGGGGGTCTCTTCCAGCTCTAGGATTCTAGGATTATATATCAGGAATAAGCAATACAGGGCCTAATGGATACATTTTTTTCCTCTCCCATCCCCATCTCATCCTGACCAAGGCTAATCCTTTTGGGATCCAAACATTCCCTGTCTTTCCTTCATTTTCTGCGTCTGAAAGAGAAGAAGGGGGGTAGAAAAGGGCAAGAAGGGGATTAGGAGAAACCCACCCACCCTGCTCCAGACCACCCTGTGGCCCCCAGGTTAGAAAATTTGCCCATGCCTGTTCTAGAGCTTGTTTGAAAGTTCCTTTGAAAAATCTATCCATTAATATTTTTTTCATTTCACAAGCTTCTACTTCTCTTACGATTTTCATCTTTAGTTGCTAAACCTATTGAGCTATGAGACACTTGCTGCAACTTGATGTAGAAAAGCTGTCTCTCCACCCTTCCTTTGCCATTCTCCCAATGCTGTTGCTGCTAAAATGAACCCGTAGATAGACAGAAGAACAGAAAGGAGGGGCTGGGCAGATGTAAGACTTTGGAAAAAGGAACTTTGTTGTCAGAAATGCTCTTAATTGGGCCCCTTCTACACAACTGAATAAAATTCCACATTTTCTGTTTTGAACTGGAATATATGGCAGTGGGGACTCAGATAGCCCAGTTCAAAGCAGATACTATGGGATTTTCAGCCTTAATATTCTGGATTATATGGCTGTGTGGAAGGGCCCTGAGTTAGGCCTGTAATTGTTCCTCCATGAAAACAGCACCAAATTCTTATTTACACAAATATAAAGAACTCCAGGAGGTACACATAGAATAATGAGGATTGCATAAATACACAGCACCTACACAAGTCATTATGACTACATTTCCTGTTTTTATCTAAAAGACTAATTAACATGAAAGGCAGCAATCCTGCCTTGGCATCTTCTTATCCCAGTCCAAACACTGGTGCTTTCCTAGTCAAGAAGGATTTTTACACATACATTTGAACTGAAGTGGGGCTTCTGTGCCACCAGAACTTATATATTAACATTCAGACCATCATGTTCCAAAAAGAACTGGAGAAATAAGCTATTCAAGAGTTACAAAAAACAAACCTAAGTTTCACCTTTGACTTTTTCTGTTCTCTATGTAACACACCTAGCTTGTTCTGAGGCTTGTGAAGGTAAGTATTTACAAAGAGAGAGAGAGACATTCACGGGACAAAAGTGGCTTAAAAAAGAGTGTAACACAGAGCAAGAAAAATATATGTATCTCTTAGGAAACAGGCAATGTACACAAACTTTGTTTCATGTACAAAGCTATTAAAATATTGTTTATAAAATTGACTTCAGGTTATAGGAAACATGAATGAATGTCACATTTAGACTTAGGTCCCATCTCCAGCTATCTCTTTATGTGTATGTAAATATTCCAAATTTGGAAGAACTTTGGTTCCAAGCATTACAGATAAAATACCTTCAACCTATCTTACAGTGTATTTACACTGTAGAATGTATAGTTTGACACTACCTTAACTGCAACAGCTCAATGCTATGGTGTACTTTGGTAAGATACCAGTGGTCTTTGGAAGAATAGGCTAAAGGCCCTATAAAACTACAACTCTCATTCCACAGCTCATAAGTATGGGGCTCAGTATTTTCGCCACTGGACATGAAGGGTTATGGTAAGTAGTAAAGTAAGTAAGTATGGTGGTTAAAGTGATATCAAACTGCATTAATTCTACAATGTAGATGAGAAAGTGCATGGACGGGTCAACTCCTGGGGCAATCCAGAAACACTTTTGCTGCAGTATAACAACTTTGGTAAGGGTGCATCTCTACATCATAGGACTACTGCAGTTTGACATTACTTTAACTGCCAGGGATCAATGCTATGGAAACCCAGGAGTTGTAGTTTTACAGGATTTTTGCACTGCTACAGTAGTTAAAGTGGTGTTAAACCATACCCAGTCTACAGTGTAGAACTGTAGATGTACCCACAGTACAGTACACTTCGAAAGCAACATCTAGGGGTGAATGTACTGTGGAATTAGTACAGTTTGACACCACTTTTAACTGTCACGGGAGGTATAATTTTGTGAGTGGCTAGAAAAGGCTAAAGATCTTATGAAATGACCAATCCCATTATTTCATAGCATTGAGCATTAATAGTATAAGCCCCCTTCCTTACAGCTGAATAAAATCCCACATTATCTGCTTTGAACTGGAATATATGGCACTGTGGGAGGGCCCTAAGTCTGCAGCGTATATGTATCCCTAGAGCGGTGGTTCTTAACCTGCAGCCGCAGACCACCAGTGGGCTGTGAGGACGAAAATCCGATCCGCGAACCTTTCCTCTTTATTTATTTAATTTTTGCTCCTTTTGCACCGCCTGCCACTCCTTCCCTGTTGCTCACCATGGCACATGTTCTGTATCAGAAACCAGAGCTGATGTGGTCTGTTCAATGCAATTTTCTGAATCACCACCCCAAACCGAATCTAAAGTTGACCATAAACTGACTTGTAACTCCTTTGGTACTAATGTTGGAGAGTGGCACCTGGCCAAAGCGATCCCTGGTCAAAAAAAGATTGATAACTATGGCCTTTTTTTCATGTCAGGAGCGACTTGAAAAACTGCAAGTCACTTCTGGTGTGAGAGAATTGGCCGTCTGCAAGGACGTTGCCCAGGGGGCGCCCAGATGTTTTGATGTTTTACCATCCTTGTGGGAGGCTTCTGTCATGTCCCTGTATGGGGAGCTGGAGCTGACAGAAGGAGCTCATCCACGCTCTCCCCAGATTTGAACCTGCGACCTGTTGGCCTTCAGTCCTGCTAGCACAAGGGTTTAACCCACTGTGCCATCGGGGGCTCAATACTGCCCTAGAGAGATGAGAATACTATGGGGTCCTGGGAGGGGTAGTTTTGCAAAGTTTTGAGCCTTCTCTGCCAGAGAGGGGCTGCTGTCTCACCAAAAAACTACAACTCCCAGGGTCCCAGAACATTGAGCCACAGGAGGGCTGCTTTCCCGCAGGCATGGGTTAACTTGGGCCCCCCAGATGTTATGGACTTCAACTCCCACAATTCGAAGGCTGTTAGGAATTGTGGGAGTTGAAGTCCACAACACCTGGAGGGTCCAGGGGCAGGCATGGGCTAACTTGGGCCCTCCAAGTGTTGTGGACTTCAACTCCCACAATTCCTAGGCTGTTAGGAATTGTGAGAGTTGAAGTCCACACCTGGCGGGCCCTTCCACACAGCCCTATATCCCAGAATATCAAGGCAGACAATCCACCATATCTGTTTTGAACTGGGTTATTTGAGTCCACACTGCCATATTTTCGAGTTCAAAGCAGATAATGTGGGGTTTTATTCAGCCCAAGTTTGCCCATGCCTGCTATATACCAAGACTGTACAACTGCTACAGGGCTCACGATGCAAAACTACAGACTCCGTGGCAGTTGAGAGTGGTGGCTGTAAGATAAGGGCCTGGAAGAGGCAGGCCGCGTCAAAGGGGAAGGGAGGGAAACACAAAAGCGGGGGGGGGGGAGAGGAACCGGGGGGCGGGAGGAAGCCTTTCCCTCAGCCAAGGGCCCCTCCAGAGGGTTTCCTTTTCCGCCCTCCCGCCTTCCCCACAGTCACCTGCGTCAAGGAGAAATGCGTGGCCATGCTGCTTCCATCCTGTAGCTCTCCCCTTCGCGGAAAAGCGGAGCAAGGCCCGGCCCTCCGTCCCTCACTCTCTGCCCAACTTCAGCAACTTCCCGAGACGCCCCGGACAGGCCCCGCCTCCTTGCCTCCCTGCCTTCCTTCCCTCCCGGCAGCCTCTCCGGAGCAGAGCCGGCCTCCCAAAGCTCCCCAGGCTCAGGGGGAGCAGTGTTGTGCGGCTCCTCTCTGCTGCGGCCTAGCGAGAAACTCTCCCACCAGGACTCAAGCTCGCTTCCTAAGGCGTCCTCGCCACTTTCTTCAACTATGAGGAATGGAACCTGAATGGATTTCGTACACAGTGTCCCTCTTGGAGCCAGAAAATACTGACTCTATCTAAGACAATGGTTCTCAACCTGTGGGTCCTCAGGTGTTTTGGCCTACAACTCCCGGAAATTCTGGGCACCACAACTGAAGAGAGATACTGACAAGCTGGAATGTGTCCAGAGGAGGGCGACTCAAATGATCAAGGGTCTGGAGAACAAGCCCTATGAGGAGTGGTTTAAAGAGCTGGGATTGTTTAGCCTGCAAAAGAGAAGGCTGAGAGGAGACGTGATGAGGGCCATGTATAAATATGTGAGAGGAAGTCATAAGGAGGAGGGAGCAGGCTTGTTTTCTGCTGCCCTGGAGATTAGGACGTGGAACAATGGCTTCAAACTACAAGAAACTTCCATCAGAAAATTAGGAAGAACTTCCTGACTGTGAGAACTGTTCAGCAGTGGAACTCTCTGCCCTGGAGTGTGGTTGAGGCTCCTTCTTTGGAAGCTTTTAAACAGAGGCTGAATGGCCATCTGTCAGGGGTGCTTTGAATGCAATTTTCCTGGGGGTTGGACTGGATGGCCCATGAGGTCCCTTGCAACTCTATGATTCTATGAAATCCCAGCCAGTTTACCAGCTGTTAGAATTTCTGGGAGTTGAAAGCCAAAACATCTGGGGACCCACAGGTTGAGAACCACTGACCTAAGACCTCATTACACTAGAGCAGGCCTAGGCAAACTTGGGCCCTGCAGGTGTTTTGGACTTCAACTCCCACAATTCCCAAAACAAATCCGGCCCAGCTTACCTGTTTGAACGTATCTCTCCTTATGAACCATCTAGGAACTTAAGATCATCAGCTCTTATTCCCACCTTTGCAGGCGCATCTGGAGGAGAGGAGAGACAGGGCTTTCTCAGTGGTGGCCCCTCTGCTGTGGAATTCCCTCCTTAAGGATATTAGATTGGCCCCCTCTACCTCCTGACTTTCTGTAAAAAAAATTGGCTCTGAACAAGCTTTTGGAAATACAGCATAATAGATAAACATGGAACGGCTTAGACGATGCTACTGGAAAAATGAGTCTTAACAGGAAGACACAGGCAATTATATGTTTTAAAGGGTTTTTGTATGGATTTGTATAATGTTGTGCTATATGTTTTTTAATTGTATTTTATGACTGTTGTGGCATCAAATTGCTGCAAATTTGTAAGCCGCCCTGAGTCGTCTTCAGGCTGAGAAAGTCAGGATTGAAATACTGTAAATAAATAAATAAATTCCTAACAGCCTCAGGCCCCTTCCTTTTCCCACTCAGCTACTTAAGTTGATATAAATAGTATCAATCCCACTTACAATCCAAATGCTAAAATCAAAGCAAACAGATCAAAAGAACAAATCACAATATATAGAGAAAATAATCCTAATAAAATATATTAATTATAGCTCATAACTCCAGTCAGTATATTTTCTTGCTATATATATATATATATATATATATATATATATACACACATACATATATATCTCTCACACACACTTTGGATATCTCTCATGGGGATTCGGTGGCTTACAAAATGAAGGCAGTCATTTGATGCCTCAAAAATAATAAGCAATAAATTGAATAATAAATATATAATATAAGCGTTCTATCATAAAACAAATCATAATAAAAACAAATAAACCACTTTCCACAACAACAATCACATGTGTTAAAAGCCATATCCATAGAACAGTCCTTATCAGTCAAAATTTTGCTTGTGGTAGAAACAAGGATTGGTGAGAAAACCAGTGGGGACACCTTTTCCCCATGATGATAACTTTCAGGAGTAAATTTCCCTTGCAAGGGGTAAATTTCTCTTACTTCCTGTTGTCTCATCCCTGTTCTTAACTAGCCCTCTCTAGCTAACCCTATGCTCTCACCACTAATCTCTATGAGGGGCTTTCCCCCTCCATTGTCACCCCTCAAAATCAAATTGCCCCCCTGTGGGACATGTACCCCATTGTTGGGAACTAGGGGGCTGCTCTAAATTATATGTCCTTTAATGGGAGAGAATGGCCTTTCATGAGTTTTGGTATGTTGTAAAACCAGTTTCTGCTTAATACGCCCTCCGGACAGTACTGACATCCCTCACATTAGATTTGAAATATATAACTATGGAGCTTGTTTCTAAAAGGTACTAAATCCATATGAAAAAAAAGTTAAAGGGATTTTTTAAATGTCAGAAATGACTTGAGAAACTGCAAGTTGCTTCTGGTGTGAGAGAATTGGCCGTCTGCAGGGATGTTGCCCAGGGGACGCCAGGATGTTTTAGCATCCAGTGGGAGGCTTCTCTCATGTGCCCACATGGGAAGTTGGAGCTGACAGACAGGAGCTCACCCCATCTCATGGATTCGAACCACTGACCTTCAGGTCAGCAGTTCAGCCGGCACAAGCGTTTAATCCATTACGCCACCATGGTCGCAGATAATAAAAATCCCTATATCAAAGTGATTTGATATATCTTGCTAGTTTTGATCTGTACTCCTAGCCAACAATGTGCTGCTACCCATAATTCCTTTTAATTTTTCTTTTTTTCTTTTTTCTTTTTGGATTTGGTACCTTTTGGAAAGAAACACTACAATTATGTTCATGATATAAGATACATGAAATAAGAAGCAGTCGTGGTTCCTAATTCTGAGATGTCACAACATGTGCTTATATAATGCAATATTCATGATAATAAGCACCAAGAAATTTTATTTTTAAAGCAAAATTAAAGCTGAGATTTTCTTTTCAGACAGTCAGATCCTGGACTAATGACATTCTTCCACTTGTATGTATCTATTCACATTGTTCAAATTGCTCCAAGTGACCTATTTATCAAGGACAGGTTTTATTTTCTGGTATCTGTCCTTGTTTGATAAAAACCATCCTCTTTTGCCGTTGGGAAGATATTTTTCATTAACTTTTAAAGTTAATGCACAAATTTGTCCCCCACCATTCATAAATAATTGAATGCCTCCTGCAATTATTTGAGTTGCAGTTATTTTCTTCCAAAAAAAACAAAACCTGACCCAATATACCGGTAGTATTATTTACCATTCTGCTAAATACTCCTTAGCTGCCATGACTCACTGTTATAGAATCATGGCAGATGTAGTTTGGTTAAGCACAAACACTATTTGGCAGGGAAGACAAGAAACTACAACTCCCAGGAGTCCATAGTACTGTGCCATTGCTATTAAAGCAGTGTCGTGTGGCATTACTTCTATACTATAGATTCACCTTACTGGCTAGAGTGTTTAGCTGTGTATAGCTGGGGAGGTAACAGGAGGGTTTTCAGGAAAATACCATAAGTAAAGGTATTACATGTCCTCAAACTATCCCTATTTTTATCTGAGAAATGCTGGAGAGTCAGATCTATTTAGACTAGGGGTGTATGTGCAAATATTTCACGTTTATTGAACAAATCACACTAAGATGAAAGAATTGCTTTGTGAGAGCAGTTAGCATATTTAACTCAAGGTTGCTCTCAGAAGTTGCTACACACATAAATTAATTCAACAAATGTGTAAGTCCGAAGTATAATTGCGGCTTGCATGCTCCACAAAAAGGGCTCTGCCAAAAACAGAGCACTGAAATGTTGCCGCAAAAGAGTAAATATGTCAATTGCTTTGGTTTGCTTGATTAAAACAGTTTTATCGCTGTTCAGCACAAATTTATATTCAAACTAGCTGCCTTCTCAGACTCTGCCATGTTTATAGTCAAGCTGTAGTAGGCCAAATTAGTCATAGTTGATTGAAATGGGTTGTCAGTTCCCTACATATACTTTAAATTTAAATTAGATAGGATAGGTGCACACACACACACACAGGAACAGCAGAATTCACTATCTTATTGAGTGTATTCTACTTTCAGAGTCAATAATCATTTGCAGCAATACATAAGAAAGACCTTGTTGTCCTCATATGCAGTTTTGAGAGTCAAAGGCAATGTGAGATGGAAAATAGGACTGGAGGTTTCACATGTTGGTTTTAAGCAGTTTTAGACTGTCTTCTGAATTTTGATTACTTAAAAAAGTAGAACTTAAAATTAAAAATGTTGTTGTTTAAAAGAAGAAGAGCCCATTGCTTCTGCCAAATACAGTTTAGGCATCACATAAATAACTTAATTGGAGGAACTGTGTTAGATGGGGTTACACTCCCCCTGAAGACGCAGGTCCGTAGCTTGGGAGTGATCCTGGACTCATCGCTGAGCCTGGAACCCCAGGTCTCAGTGGTGGCCGGGAGAGCTTTTGCACAATTAAAACTTGTGCGCCAGTTGCGCCGTACCTTGGGAAGTCAGATCTGGCCACAGTGGTCCACGCTCTTGTTACATCCCGAATAGATTACTGCAAGCACTCTACGTGGGGTTGCCTTTGAAGACTGTTCGGAAACTTCAATTAGTCCAGTGGGCGGCAGCCAGATTACTCACCGGAGCGTCATACAGGGAGCATACCACCCCTCTGTTATGTCAGCTCCACTGGCTGCCGATCCAGTTCCAAGCACAATTCAAAGTGCTGGTTTTGACCTACAAAACCCTATACGGCTCCGGCCCAGCGTATCTGTCCGAACGCATCTCCCTCTACGTCCCCTCGGAGTTTAAGATCTTCTGGGGAGGCCCTGCTCTTGGCCCCGCCTCTATCACAAGTGAGATTGGCGGGGACGAGGAGCAGGGCCTTCTCAGTGGTGGCTCCTCACCTGTGGAATTCACTCCCCGGGGAAATTAGGTCATCAACATCCCTCCTTTCCTTTAGAAGGAAATTAAAAACATGGATTTGGGACCAGGCGTTTGGGTAATCTGGCAGACAGATAAAGGACAATGATGACTAGAACTGATAGGAATTGACAATGCGGAATGAATTTATGGATTCTGAGCTGGCGAACGTTGAGCATGAGATTGGCTTTATTGATTGTGATATATAACTGATTGTTTTAACTCTCTATAACTGTTTTAATTGCTGTTTGTATATGTTTATTTGTACTATTGTGTAGGCATCGAATTGTGCCTTTTGTAAGCCGCCCAGAGTCCCCCCTCGGGGGTTGAGAAGGGCGGGGTAGAAATACGCGAAATAAATAAATAAATAAATAAACTGTCATAATCTAAAAGAGAATATGCTGAATTACAGTAATCATGAAATATTTTCCGATTACTATAGTCCATTTTACAGCCTTAACAGATTTTTTAGTGACAAGAAAAACTACCCAAAAATGGAAAGCTATTAAACATGTCTGAAAGCATTCAATGTTGTATTGACATTTTGTTTTCTTCTTCTCTTTCTTCACTGCAGTCATGTGTCACTGAAAAAAATGTCTCTGAAAGATTTACCTATGTTTCAGGAAGAGGCATATAGGGAACTACAGTGGGAAGTATAGTTATTCTAGATTCATTGTATTCTACCGTTTTGCTAGCACAAGTCTACCAGTGGATCCAAAGAACGGTATTCCAAGATCTGTTGTTGGTGTTATCATTATCATTACTGTAATCTGTAGGGGGCAGGACATGGTTGCTGTTTTAGTAGTATAATTTGCATGGCACATTGCAGATACAAATCTCTGATGCATTCTGACTTGATTTCTGTCATTAATACATGTCAAATGGTGGTAATATTGGCCCTTGCTTGTTTAATATCATTGTGCAGCCTGAGGATGTGGACAGAATCCTTGGAGAGATAAAACTGTTGTATAATGTTCAATTTTGTACTAAATTGAAATCATGTAGCTTTGAGGGGAGGAATATGAGTTGGAGTTATATAATGCTGTACTACACTTAGGTGAATGGCTCAACAACTCTTTTCTTATCTGTTTTATTTTGTTTGATTATGGATTGTATTATCACTTAAGATCAAGAAAATACACATTAGAAGATAGGGAAGGAAGCATGCTCATGTTGGATTCCTTTGTAAATAAGCCAAGGGGATTTCAGGTTGGTCACTTTCTGTATTCTATGAAGGTTATCTGGAAAGTAAGATTACAATTTTTTTTTAAAATACGAAGAATGAATATATTTTAATAAAACTTACATGAATTGTAGCATAGGTGTTACATTATTTTTTCACATAATCACCATTCAGTTTAATACATTTTGTCATCAGTGGGACAAGTTTTTGATGTTTGTGTCATAGAAGTTTTCCTCCACCATTTTCAGCCAGTTCATCAATTTCACTTTCACCTCGTTGTTGGAGAAGTGTTTTCCACCAACGTTCAATTTAGTGAACAGATGATAGTCACTGGATGCAAGATCGGGGCTGTGAGACATCCCAACCAAATGAAGTCAACAACTCTTGTGTCATATGAGCAGTGTGTGGATGCGCATTGTCATGAAGGAGACACACTCCCGCTGACAGCATCCCACAACATTTGTTTTGGATGGCTCTGCGAAGTTTCTTCATGGTCTCACAATATATTTAGTATCTATTTTGTCACATGCTGTCTTGACATTACATCCTCTCTATAAACTGAAATGATTTCATGATGAATCGCAGCGGCGTTCATGCCCTTAGCATTTATTTATTTATTTATTTCAAAGTTTTCTATACCGACCTTCTCACCTCATTGAGGGACTCAGCCCGGTTTCCAACCATAAAAACACATACAATCAGTAAAATATCATAGTTCACAATTACAGTAACACATTTAAAATAACAATATATTTAAATATAATTAGGTAGTGTATTATAGCGTGTATTCCATTGGAGGGAAATGGAATGAGGACACACATCTCTAACCTTCAACAAAATGCCAGTCAATGAGCTACTGATGACTGGCACTGCTCATTCGCTTCCACTGGCTTCCCGCTACACAGCAGTGATACCAACTACCCCCAAGAAAATTCCCTGTGAGAGGTACATGTCTTATAACCTTACTTTCCGGATAACCATCATATGTACATAAGCAAAAAAGATTATTTCAGTTTATATTCACCTAATGTCAGAAAGTTAGGCAATTCTGTGAAAGGTCAGCCAGGGATGTCACACAATCAAAAGACCTGTATATACTAATTAACAATCTAGAAATTTTAGTCAAAAATTGGCTCAAAAAAAAGAAAAGAAAATTCTGGGTCAATTTATCCATCAGTCATTGTCCCTCTCCACCCTCTCTCTCTCTCTCCCACTTCTGCCCTCTTTGAATGCCTGGGTGGGGAAATGGCAGTGGCGGCAACTAGGGATAGCTCATTCCTTGAGGCAGCATTGGTCCTTTCCCATCTTCCCAGAATGATTCTCGATTTATCCATAAGTCATATTAAAATCCATAATTTTGCCCACCAATCCCACTTCTGAATTATACATGAGGCCAACTTCTATACTAGTATATATGCAGTAATCACCGGGTAATAAAGCACTCCAAAAATAAAACCTTAAAATTAAACTTAAAAGTGAAATAGTCTTCACCAGCCACAAGAAATTAGAAGGGATGGAGTCTGGATGATCTCCTTTGGGAAATTGTGTTTGACATGCTGGGTGCTACTTTGCAAGATAGTGTCTCCAATCATGGTCATATATTTCAGAAAGGCTCATATGGGAGGGGATAGGTTTTCAGGTATTTTAGCCTCAAGCTTTTTAGAACCTTATAGGCCAAAGCAAGATGTTGAATTAAGTTTGGAAGCCAACTGGAATCCTTTGTGATCTCTAAAATGCATGTATGATAACAGTCTGGCCACTGGAATTTGGAGAACATTACTTTCTGGACACTTTGTAAGGACAGATCTACATAAAAGAAGCTACAGTAATTTATTTGGAAGTAATTAAGGCATTAACCACTGTGGTCAGATCTGTCCTCCCTATGAAAGGGTGCAAACTGTTGGACAAAGACACGCCTGGGCACAGCAGCCAACTGGCCTTCCAAGAGCACAGTTGTGTCCAAGAACATTCTTGAGCTATTAACCTGATCTTTTGGAAGGCTTGCAGCCCTATATAAACCACTATTATCCCAACCTCAGCCTCCGTTTGTTATTCTCATCCAGTCTTTCACTACAATTCAAGACTTCCAGAGAACTGGATGTTCAGCAGCATACTGATCATATCCATCCTCAAATCTTTGGATGGCCTCCTCCAACAGCTTCATGTAAATGTTCGAAACCACAGAGGACAACACTGAGTCTTGTGGAACTTCATAGGTTAATTGCTAGGAGGCTCAACCAAAAACAAACATTTGAATCTGCAGCACAGAGCCTCCAAGTCCTGCATCAGCCAAACAAGAATCAACTTTGGATCTTGAGTAAGCTGCTTTAATCTTTTACAGATTTCAAATTTGGATTTGCAGGGGACTTCTATTCACAGCAGTGATCCCCAAATTTGGATCACCAGATTCTACTGAACATCAGTTCCCAGAAGCCAGTCAGTGTGAAAATGATAAGGTACACTGGAAGTTGCAGTCCCATATTATCCAGTATCATGATGTTAAAGGAAGATCATTAATAGTGTTAGATAATAAAGGGTTTCAGGGAGAATCATAGTAGAGGCAAGTGGAAATATTAAAAAGGAGAGGTACTGTTACAATGCAGTAAGTAAATAAAAATATATGAATTTATTAAGAGAAATTCATTCTTTTAAAACAAATTGAAAGGAAAATACTTCAAAAATTGTTTTGTCAGATATAGGAAAAGAAAAGGAATGTAATAGGACTACATAAGTAATTATACATGTTTGTTAAATTTTATTTAACTGTTTACACCTCACATAACTGTAATGTGTATCTCCTACAAGCAGGCCTGTCCTTCAGCTCAGCCAAGGAGAATGTTAGATAGCAAAGTGGTTGGTATATCAACATAATTTTAATCCTATCTCAAGTTTCTCCCAAAGATACTTGATGTTTAGAAGTGATAGGTGGATATATTGAATCTTTATAAACTGGATGGGCAAAGTGTGGCCTACTAAACGTTAGATTATAATTCTCATCAGCTACAACATATACTTTAGTACTGAGAAATGCTGACAGTTGCAGCACAACATCTGGATGACTTAATTCACTAATTTAAACCGGAGTACTCTATCCAGCTACAATTCCTAAAGATAAATTTATCCTCATGCTACCTATATTTATATTTCTACCCTGTGATTCTAATCCAAAGGGACAGTCCTCATTGCCTTCGCTTTAGCTTAAACCCTTTAAATGTAGGAGGATATACTTCGTGAAACACCCAGGTGCATCTACACTATGGAGTTAGTGCAGTCTGACACCACTTTAATTGCCATGGCTCAGTGCTATGGAATCATGAATACTGAAGTCTTTAGCCTTCTCTGTCAAATAGTGCTGATGTTTTGCCAAATCACAAGTCCCATGATTCCATAGCATTGAGCCACGGTAGTTAAAGTGGTGTCAAACTGCATTAATTCTACAGTGTAGGTGCACTCTCAAACTCTCCTGTCATTACTACTCATCTACTCATAAAATATGTTCACCAAGATTTTTTTATCATTTCCTTTCAGAGCTCCTGTAACAAGGTATAAAAAATCAGCAAAGTATCTGGAAGTTCAAATGAAAGAACAAGTCATTATCATACTGAGTGAAAGTAATTATGCAACAGTTTTGGTTGTTTACAGTTCATCTTTAACGTTGAGTACTTTTCCATTCTTTCCTTTCTTGGCCTCCTTTCCCTTTGGTTCCTGTTTTTCATTAATTTTGTTATACACAACATCTTGTCTTTCTCTTCTCTTCCATTCTCTCTCCTGTTTATTAGAACAAATTATATGGAATTAATAGACTCAAACTTATAACAATTGCTCATCATCAAATTCTGTCATTACATGCAAAATTTGTCACCATTGAGCAATGTATATTTTCAAAGTGAACATTTTAATTAAAAAATCCTTCTCACCATCACCTCCTCACTACATATTGACAGCAATTCTGAAGTTACGGGATAACTGCCATGATACATTTATCAGGTATGGCATGCTATTTGAGTGAAGTATTACATATGCATTTTATTCCTATTATTTCTGGCTCTGTCTGAAAGAATATAATATATTCCTTATGCTAGTTGGGAATTTTTTATAGCTGTCCAAATAATGTTTTGTAAAAATATCACTTTACAGTATTTTAGCTCATTCTTTCTACAGTAGTAACAGTAAATATATTAGAATTAGTTAATGTTGTTTTTATTCGAAGATTTGGCATCTATGAGAACAAAGGATGAATGTAATAATTAGATTCTGACTTAATCAGTTAATTATACTTTAGTAAAATCAATGTGGTTACTTACATATGTGGCACCCCACATTTCATTCCCAGCATCTTCAGCATATTGTTCATCATTTGTGATAAGAAAATTATCAAAAATTGTACCGGACTTCCCCTGTTGAAATTAGGAAAGGAAATTACTTAACGCGGTCCAACTAAATTTGCAACTATAACTGATTTTGACATCATCAAACATGGTACAGTATCTTAGCTGAAAATCTTTTAGAGTTGAAATGTAATAAAGCACAGTATACCATTACAAAGCTGATGCCATTAATTACCATATTTAATTGATTCTAAGACTTATCAGTTGTAAGATGCACACTAATTTCAGTACCATTAATAGAAGAAATGTTTTATTTATATATATAAAAAGGCACCTACAATTCTAAGAAACGCTGTTTTATATTTAAGAAAAAGTGCATCTTAGAATAATTGAAACAGAGTAATGTAGCTGCAATCAAATGCTATACTTTTTGGAGTGTTTCTAAAAGTACACTTCTATCCATCTGCTTTGTTTGTTCTCAAATTTGTATTTAATGTTTGCTAGGGTCTAAATACCTTAAGAGTATCAGATCCTATTTGATCTTGGAAGCTAAGCTCAGCCTTTGTTAATACTTGGACAGGAGACTGCCAACGAATACAAGATGCTGCAGGTTATATTTCAGAAGAAAGAACTGGCAAACCACTCTGAGTATTCATTACTCAATGAAACCACATGAAATACATGGGTCACCATAAGGTCGCTTGTCCCACCATGATTTGTTGGTGGGGCAGGCCCTCAGACGTGGCACTGGCACTTTCTTCCCTGCAGACTGACCATTTACTTATCCATAGGTCATATAAAAATCCATAATTTTGGCCCCAAAATCTCTCCTCGATTTACACATAAAGTTGACTTACAGGCATTCCCACCAAAACTGCGGCAGAATAAGTGTGTTTTTTGAATTGTTTAATATACATACCTGTAAAATCTCTAAGCCAATGACACTAATATTAAAATATTTGCAAAGATCAGGATCTGGTTTGTAATCTGGGTTGTCAACTTCTGGTTGGACCCATATGCCATTGTAATTAGGGTTCTTAATAATACGTGGTTTCCAAATGCCCTAAAAAAAAGCATATTTGAAACAAATTTGAATAGGGCTTTTCAAACCCCGTTTAATTAAGGTAGTAGTTAACATAAACCTTTTAATTAAAACCTGACAAAAATGGAACATATTTCTATCATTTGATTATGATGTAATTATCAATTTACAATTAAATGCAGAATCTTCCTAGGATGCATCACTTTAATTGCCACAATTTGATACCATGGTACCTTGGGAGTTGTAGTTTGGTGAGGCACTCTTTGGCAGAGGAGGCTAAAGACCTTGTAAAACTACAACTCTCATGATTCCATAGATTAAGTCATGACATGTAATATGTCGGTAAACTGTATTATTTCTACAGTGTAGAGGTACCCCAATCACAGAACCAAAAGAGAACTACAAAAAATCCTAAATCACTGGATTGTACTTAGATTATTTCAAGGAAGACAAAATTATTTCAGTGTGTTGTAGATCATATTTTCATGGTGGCTGGCAAGCTCAAAATAGAGGAAATTGAATTGTGCTTACAGACAGATCTGGGAGAAAAAAAAGCAAGCACGTTTTGGTATCACGATTGGTGGGGATGAGAGACAGGGCCTTCTCAGTGGTGGCCCCTCGGCTAGGGGTGAGAAAAGCGGTATAGAAATACTGTAAATAATACTTGGAAGACCACAGAACACAGCTAGAGGCTCACTTAGCCCATAAGATGCACTTTTCAACCCTGATGTAAACATATATATCTCTTACTCTGTACTCAGGGTTTGGAATCAATGGTGGTGCCCATTCCCCATCCATCTCTTCATCCCAGTCATCTGGTTTTTCCACACCTGGATCAGGAATTCTTTCTGGCTGATCCCAATCCTGAAAAAATATTTATCATGAGGAGAAATAAAGACTATTAAGTATAACATGTACTTTGGCAAATGAGACAATTAGACAAATGTTAATTTTTTAACTCTATTGGTGGTTGATTAATAATTTTATCTTAATTGTTCTATTGCTGGCAACTCTGAAGGGTGGCTAAATATATTTCAATACATATGACAAGAAATAGTTTTTAAAATAAAAAAAAAACCCAAATTTCTGTTTTTTAATTTAAAAAACCAAAATTATCAAATATTAATGTTAAGAGAAAGTTTATAAGTAAACACCAGTAGACAGGTCAGCTACAAATAGTTAAATTCCCTAATGAGTATATGGAGTTGCAAAAGAGAAAAGTCCATATATATGTGTGTGTGTGTGTGTATGTCACTTAGGAGAAAGCAAAGAGAAAATGGAAAAAATGATGTGTAATCCGCATTCTATAGCCAACTCTTGCACTTCAGTAACTTAAAAAAATTCAAAATGAAAAGCATTGGAGCTTTAACATAGTAATCGATTATTGTCAATTTTTTAATGTAATCTTGTAGAGATTGACAGTGTTTTTTTCCTCGTATATTGCATGTAGTATCTTTGAGGCTGACATTCTGTCACACAACATTAGTAGATTTGCAAGTCAAATTTTGTTTAATATGATAGATAAACCTGTGCTTCTGCTTCTAAATTTGCTTTGTACAAATATGCACAAGTGATGCAATTTTGGGAGGACAGCCATACAATCTGGGATTTCTAATTCACATTTTTATTGCATCTCTCACCAGCAGCTTTTTTTAGAGTAGGTGGCTGATATAAAAGCAACAATAGGATGCTTATTAATAGCTATGAAAAGGCATGGTGAAGTAGCTAACAAGGATAGCTTCTTTGAACTGCCAACTGGTAATTGGGAGATGGTGGGTAGAATCAACCATAAAAGGCACACTACTGTCATCATTTTTACTGCCTCTTTTTTGTAGCACAGAGATTCTGAATATAGCTGATATTCAGCTATATTCTAGCTCAGTTATGAAATATGCATAGCCTCTATAAAATAGGGTAAGTCCTAGATTCTTTGATGATAGTGTCATTGTTGGATGTAGGTTGATTCCTGAGTGTCAAACAATATAAGATGTTGTTTTATATGAGTGGGGTGGCAGGAATTCTAGTTCAAAAATAAAGAAACATCAGCTGGTTTACAAAACAGGTCTGTAACAATCCTGGTATGCTTGAGGGACATCCAGGAAAGGACTTTGTGGATGTTTTAAGCTAAGGGTCCCCAACCTTTTTAAGTGGAGGGCCGGTTCATGGTCCCTCAGACTGTTGGGGGGGGGGCACACTTTAATTGTGCGCAGGTGTGTGCGCCATGCATTGGGTGTGCACATGTGGTGGTAGCAGCCAGGGCAGGGCAGGAAAAAGACTTTTTTGAGCCGGATTTGACCTGCAGGTGTTGGTTTGGGGACCCCTGTTTTATGCTATACACCCACCCCCTCGCTAAACATGCATATAGCAAAGTATACAATAGCATTACACAGTGTAGTAGGAGTAACAACAGGTATTCACTATTGTCAAAACTGCTGGTGGTTTTGCTCAGTGCCTGCAGTGATGCTAGCTGGAGTGAGGAGGCAATTGAAAAACAGAGAGGAGAAAGGAGAGAGTGATTCCCTTCATTGCTTTGGCTGTCATCACTACAGATGCTGAGTGACTGGTGGTCACCACAAAGGGCAGACTGATGGGGAAAGTATGGGTGGCTGTCCAGTGGCACCAAGCTGGTTCTGGAATAGCTGGGCTGTGTGATGCCATTCAGATGCTGGGCTGATTCAGTGCCACACAGTGCAGACCCATCAGCTTCTGAGATGGCTTGGCGGCTGGCCATATGGACTTCGGTAACACCAGTCTGGAGTACTGGAGTAATTGACTGCTGATTAAGGTTAAGTTCTTGATTTATTTTTTAAGGCGAATGTTTTTATCTGTTCTGTTAATTCAAAATGAGGATATATTGAAATTTGAGGTATTGATAAATGATAGATTAATGTAATCAGCTTAAGTACAATCAGTGTGACATTTAATCACAGATTAACTTTTATGTATCACTAGTGAGACAGGAAGTCATCTTTCCCCCTTATAGAAAGGTAACATTTCGTAGAATAAATCAAATGTTTATGTGTGTAACAGTTTTCCTTATATGTAGTTCTTATTTGTGTAAAAAACCCTATATTTTCTTATTTTTTGTTATAAATTATTAACTTGAATTACACCTAATTCAAAAACTACACATGCAGCTTCAATGTAGTTAACAAGGGCACATCTATGGACAAGGTATGACTGGCAGGGCATGCAGTTTTAACGTATACAGTGTGAAGCCATGATATTCAAACTGGAACTTTACATCTGGTTTCTTGTCCATGGGATCCTCGATAGTTTCCCTTTCATCCCAGTAATCGGGTTTTGGCATATAAGGATCTACTATCTTCTTTGGAGGCAGAAAATCCCAGTCATCTTCTAAGTTGCCAGACTCAGCCACATAATTGTCAATCTTCACTTCATATGTTAAATCTGGACGTACTATTAGAGTGTACAGATGGGTAAAGTCATCAGTCTCAAAAAGGAAAAAGAATAAAGAGTATTATATGTCAATATAGCATTATTTGCAGGTATTTCATATGGTCAGATTTACCTGTCACATTTCATGTAAACTAAATAAAATAGAAATAAAGCAAATAAATAAATAAATAAATAAATAGAAAGGTGAGTTACCTATTGGCTGATTTTACCCCACCACTTAGTGAACACCCTGAAAGATCAGAAAGTTGACAGTGTGTAAATTAGAATAGAACAGATGTTTCTTGCTGGCTTGGTGGTATGTTAATAGAAGGGCTCTTCATTCAGAGTGTGTATCAGTCAACCAAAGCCCAAACCATGGCTAAAGAACCTCAGGCCCTCCAAGTGTTTGAACCACCCTTCAATGGTTTGAACCAGCCTTCAATGATGAGGTATAAGATAGTAGCTCCTCATCATCTGAAAGGACAGAGGCCTCCCACTCCTTGCCCAAAGATGGTAGGCATTGTTTTCTCATTATAAAGGCCGAGTCTGTTTATGCAAATTAAACTGCATTGAGTTCAATGAAATTTATACTTCAATATGTATATGATTAAAGCTAAAGTGGATGAAAATTGTTCACTTCTTAATCTCCAATTTACTTATAGGGACCTTAAAGAAATCACACCCTGTCTGATCTTGGCCAAATTACTTCAAAATGTCTGATTCGCCTCCCAGTAGCATAACCACAAAGATCTCCTTCCTACAGCAATAGCATTTATATTATGTGATGCAAATGCTGTTGAATTGTGACTAGCACCCACCACTAATTCCAGCCACTAACTTTGAGAGTCCATTTTATATTCAGTCAATAATACTGCAGCCTTAGAAGATACTGGGGCTTCTACTGAAGATCTTAAATCCAGAAGATTAAGGCCCTTTCTACACTACCATGTAATCCACATTACCAAAGTAGATAATCCAGATTATCAAATCTGATAACCCACATTATCACTACACTACCATATAATCCAGTTCGAAACAGATAATCTGGAATTTATATGGTAGTATAGAAGGGACCTAAATAATCAACAAGTGGAACTTTCGAAAACTCCCATTTCCTTCCACTCTAACATATGTAATTTATGACAGGAAGCTAAAAAGTCTCTTTGTATTCAAAGATGACACCCATTCATTTGTCATGACTTCTTAATACATATCTGGAACCACAATCAACTCCCTCAGTAGCTTGCTTCCAAAGAAAAGATGTTGCCCTAGCCTCCTTTTCCTTCCTATGTGATTGTGAGCCTGTAACCATAATGTATCTTTTAGATAAACTTTTGTAAGTAACAGTTTTGAAATAGTCTGTCAGTATTTCATGCCATGTCCTGGTCCACTTCAGAAGAGTTATACAGCCCTTCTGAAAACTCCTTTTCAATTAGATAATCTTATGAATACTTTCCTATTGCTCATAAATTAATTGGTAAGTAAATATTCCTTGTACAATTCACTGTCATTATAATTAATCATGTTTTGATTAATTCATTCTATTTAATTCAGATTGGTTATTCACTGTATTATAACTCATGTTATTTGCATGTAATTGATCTTCATTGCCTGAAAATAATTAAAGTCTTTCCTTATTTACTACCTCTGAATATCAGAAATTGCATTTGCTATCGAATTTGACTCACAAGAAGCTACTATAGAAGACCTAGTCATCATACTTCCTTTCAAATTCATTGGTAAGTCCCTCATAGGTAAGTCTACTTGGAATTGCTAATTAATATATTAATCATTTAAATTATTTGCATTGACAAACATTGACCTGTAAGTATTGCATTAATTGGGGAATCATATGTTGACCAGGCATATAAGTCTGTTGCTTCCCTGTTCCAGCACAGCAAGAATCTATTAGCAGTGCTGTGACTGAAACCAGGCTTGCCCTCATTATGGAACTGTGTTCTAATTACTTTGACTAATTTGTAAAGCATTTCCTCATAACCCCGCCCATTGTTTTGAACCTTTTGGTTCAAGATGGGAGCCAAAATAGTTCTGTGATAATTTCATATCCATAGCAGCAGTTTTTGCTGCCTGGAAGGCTTTAGAACTCTGATGGATAGCCATTACAGTCTCTGGATACGTCACTGCACTTAAGGTATTTTTCTCCATGGATACATTGTAAATTGCGTTCATTTTGTGTATTTTTGTTTCCTGCCACTTCTTTATTTAATAAGCCATTTACATTATATCCTTCTTGATTATCAGTTTTTGATCTTGCTAGAGATTTTATTTCCTCAGCTTCATTTTACTAGAAACCATAAATGTCTTGAATTAATTTTTTTCTCCCAACTTCAGAAACATGCTGGGCAGCAATCATTTGAGTGACTAATGTTTTTGGCTTTCTCTTGTCCCTCAGTCATCAGAGAGACTTATTCAATTATTCAAATTGGCAATTCATTGTATTGTTCAATATCATCTCCCTTCTATCTTAAATCTCTTAATGCTCTTTAATAAACTTCAGAAGAGTTATAACTATGCATGGCAGGACAGGACAGGAGAATAAAAACTGTTGGAAAAGGAGGAAGTCCTAATAGAACTAACGAAGAAAAAAAATAGGTAGTTGGGATGGCCCATGGGATGAACCCAATCATAGTGATTTGCTCCACAAGTAATTCCAAGAATGATCTTTCATATGCAAACCAGGTAAGTTCTTTGTTCTCCTTGAAAAGCATTTCTCATGATTTAAGCTCCCAGTTGTCATGTTGGGTGTATAAAAAAATAATTGTAAAACAATTTCCAACTTTTAACCCATCCTTTCCTCAAAAAAAGTTTCCAGTGAAGAAGTAGCTAATGTTATCTTGGGAAATAATCTCTGCTAATATTTGTATTCGACTCATAAAATAACCTTTGTAATACTGTACAACGATTTTGAAATTCAACATGTCCATTAACATTGTCATACCAAAATTTAACCATGCCATCAAAATCTTAAATCATGACTTTCATGTTCCAGAGAGTTAGTTGAGACGTATTAAATTACTGTATATTTATACGCCATTGTTGGATTCATATTTTTATATAACAGTGATACTTTGTGGAAAACATAATTACAGGAATACATGAAGAAAAGGACTAAAATAACTAAACTTAAGATACAAATATATTTCTCAGAAAACAAGAGTCCAGTGATTATACCTCACATGTGATGGTTTTTTTAATGAAGTAGTAGTCATCTTTATAGTTGAATATAACCTGTACAATCTTTTTGTGTTCTCCACATATATCTGGGCCTACAACAAAACAATAATATCATAATGATCCAAATCATGTTGGTTAGAGTTGCACCTGCACAAATACAACTCACACAGTTTCATTATAGGTTGAATAAATTTAATCACCCTTAATCCACATTTTGTTTTAAATGCTTATAATATCCCACCCCCCCACCCCCCACCAATTGAGGTTTCAAAATGCTCCACAAAATAAAAAGTTCAGAAACCACATAATATAGTTTGGGGTAGCTTGCTGATTAGGAAAATACATATTAATATGTGTGTGCGTGTGCGCGCATGTGTGTGTGTATAAGTATGTCTTTACTACAAAGGCTGTTGTTAGGTGAAGGATGTGATGTCTCTGGATTGGCTGTTGCTAGATAAAGTGGCCATCTGTGATGTCATTGGGAAAGAATGGTGACATGTATGACAGGTGGAGATGAAGGAAGGAAAGAGCCAGAAAGAAAGCCATGTTGCTATGGAGACATGATGAGGTTGGCCCTCTCAGCTGGATAAGGGAGAAAAAGGAAAAGAAGTAAAGAAAGAAGGAAGCAAAGGAATGGAGAAGAAAGGGATGGAGAGAGGGGGGAAGAAAGAAAAAGGAAGGAAGGAAAGAAAGAAGAGAAAGTAAAGGGGCAAAGTATGAGGGGAGGGGAGGAAAGAAAGAAAGAAAGAAAGAAAGAAAGAAAGAAAGAAAGAAAGAAGGGATGAAAGCAGGGAGGCAGTGGCCCTATTGACATACGTATATAGTAGATAACCTAGTATACATGTAAAAATAGTTTAACATCCAGTATAAGAAAATACTGAAAGTGAATACCACCAAAACACATATCATCCTTAAAACATTCAGTCAAAACACTTATATAAACATATAGGTTATACTTAGCTGAAGAACTAGCATTGACAATTTGAGCTCTTGAAAATCTACAGGATGAGTATCATTACTGAAGAGGTTCTGTTCCTAGCAGTCATCCACCTAGCTATTAGTGGTAGTCTTGTGCATTTGTATAGAATCACTATCCGTTTCTGTTTGTTTCATTTGTAAGGCCCTGTTTTAGTTTTTGAGTGCCTCTCTCAAAAACGGATGCCTTTCTGAAAGGGGTTTTTTGTCCCAGGTCTGAAAAAACGAATATTTTTGTCCCATTGGTATCAATGGGTAGGCTTCCCATGCTCCCGTTCCCCTCAGTTTTAGGGTGGAACTAGCCAGCTCTGTTGCCACTTCTCCCTGCTGTTTTCCCCTTCAATTGGGAAACCTATCTTGTGCCACTGCTGATGTCTCTTCATCGAAGCTAGGAGTGGACTTATGGTGGGATCCTTGGCGTGGTGCTGGAATGTGCTGTGTTCGCTGGCTGTTTGCCAGGGCTTGCCCTCCATTGCATTTGCTGGTGGCTATGCTCTGCAACTGTGCAGGTCCAGAAAGGCACTGGCAAGCGTGGGTATTTTCTGAGCCTGCATGCCACATACTCACTCTCTTTCCAAGGAGAGAGTGTGTGTGTGGCTTGCAGGCCCAAGATGCCTGTGCCTGCCAGGGCCTGCAACCGAGTGCTGAATGCCTCTTACTCACTGCTTGGCTGCAGGCCCTAGCAGGCACAGGTCCTTTGGGCCTGCAAGCCACACATGCACTCTCCTTGGAAAGTGTGTGTGTGTGTGTGTGTGTGTAGCTTGCAGGCCCAAAGCGCCTGCACCTGACAGTGCCTGCAGTCAAGTGTCAAGAGCAGAGTAAGAGGCACTCAACTGCAGGCTCTGGCAGGCGTAGGTGCGTTGGGTCTGCAAGCCATACACACACACTGCTTGGAAAGAGTGCGTGAGTGGCGTGCAGGCCCAAAGTGCCAGGGCTTGCAGCCGAGCACAACAAATCAGGCAACCGAACGGTTAACATTCTCATTTTCTTTTCGTTTCACTGATATTTTTATATCGGAGGGGGGTGTACTGTTTTGGGCCATCAGAATGAAACAAATGGTACGAAAACAAGAATTGAACTGCTGAAACGATTACCGGGCCCATGACTAATTAGTAGCCAAGAAAGCTGTATCAGGAACTCAGAAGCTGGCTAGAGCATGAAAGCAGAAAATACAATCTTTAGGGCATGCAGAGCAAAAATACTTGTGAGTTTGTAGCACATGCTGAACCAAATACAGAAACATACTGACAATCTTGCTCAAACAGCCATCAAGCAAAGTCAATGGCCTGTTTGTTTCTTCTGTAGTAATGGAAGCTTCTGAATTCTTTCCAAACAACTGTTACAGTTGTTTAAACTTGAATGGCATGAGAATGTGGATGGCTGTGGTAGGATGCATCCTCATCAGCCAGAGTAATTACTGGCTGCCAGCCAAAGCTGTAAAAAGCAACCCTCCTTACTACCAATGCTACCTATGCATCCAGCAGGACATAAGGCAAGTGAGTATGACTGCATATGCAATGAAGTTTAGCAGCAGATATTAAATCACTGTATACTAAATGTTAATATTAGCATTATGTTAATGTTTACATGATGTGGCTTTATTTGAACTTTTCTTGTATTGCTTGATGTGACCCCACCTAGTCAGTTGCAAGCAGTTATAGTATGCCATTCAGTCCATCCCCTTCTCAAAGAGTTAATGGACTGGGGAAAATATAGAAAAGAATGACTACAATTTTGGAGCACTCTAAATAGCAAAAGACGATGACTTTGGGGAAGTATTATAATAAAGACTAAGATGTGATAAAGGATTTTAAAATGGTAACAAGTATGGAAATAACTGATTGGCATTCTCTTGGGTTTCAATTTGTCTGTTGATAGCTATGAGTTATGATAGCTAAAGAGAATCTCCACATTCATAGCCAGCATGCTTCTGAATAAAGGGGAGGGCTATTGACTTCATGCCACATTTGCAGACTGTAGTAAAGGTAAAGGTTTCCACTGAATTAAGTTCGGTCGTGTCCAACTCTGGGGGGTGGTGGTGGTGGTGGTGGTGGTGGTGGTGTTCATCTCCATTTTTAAGCCAAAGAGCCAGTGTTGTCTGTAGACACCTCCAAGGTCATGTGGCTGGCATGACTGCATGGAGCGCCGTTAGCTTCCTGCCGAAGTGGTACCTATTGATCTACTCACATATGCATATTTTTGATCTGCTAGTTTGGCAGAAGCTGGGGCTAACAGCGGGAGCTCACCCTGCTTCTCGGATTTGAACCACCACCCTTTTCAGTCAGCAAGTTCGGCAGCTCAGTACTTTAACCTGCTTTGCTACTGGGTGAAAACAAAATGTTATGCGGTCTCTTACATGTTTTGCATATAGACAGTACATAGTGATTGTTACTGTTATATATATTGTAGTCCTAAGTAATTCAGGAGAGAAAATTATCACACCACTAATCCCAATTTTCTCTATTTTGTGCAAAATAATTGTATAAAATAGATACTAATACCGATGATGAGGCATTTAAGAAAACTTACCAAACATAATATAGTACTGTGAATCTTCATTCAAAATCTCTTGTTTCAAGTCTTCATGAAATAGTTTAATATAAGCACCACCACAATCAACTTGTTGATCATATTTTACTGTATACTGAACCACAAGGGTCTGGCCTTCATTACTAAAGGGTCGAAACCTTGCTGATACTGCATACCACTTTGTATCCTGAGTTGTCTGCAGGCCTATAAAGATAATTATAGTTAAATAATCAAATAAAGATACTGTTTAAAAGCTTTATTCTACTCTTTATGCAATCACATAATATTTCTTTGTGCCTGGTTTCACCACTGAAATTGTGAGGACAACTTAGTGTTATATAGGTTATTATAAACAATTTCTCATAATTTCTTTCACTAATGAGAACAAAGAGATTTTTCATAAATGACTTGCAAGGGTTTTTCAAAACTAGTTTTTATTTATTTCAGTCATTTTACAATTGTTTTAAATAGTTTTATTTTATGTAATGTTTAATTGCAGTTTAGCTACAATTTTGCATGTTCTTACTTACATTTTTGTAAGTGCTTTTAATAGCACTTAATTTTGTAAGCAATCTTGACAGGATATAATGAAAAAATAACAACAACGACAACAATTCTAAGATTGTGTAGAAGTACAAAAATAACTTTACTATGAGTTTAAATCTCTCTCTCACACACACATATAATTTTTGCTTCAAAGCTAAAAAACTTGTATAAAAGAAATGTGGTAAGAACAACCCCCCCCCCCCAAATTTTGAAGATTTCGACTGGTTTTTGAATAGGACTCTCTAGCATCACATTGCATTTTTTTTAATTCCTCAAGTTGGAAAAGTCWTATGGAATGTGGCATAAGGYCTTCTTTACSATACCAAAATCTTCTTTGTGTTGKAGAGATTGTCACCCCAGGCAATGCTATAAGGTACTAGATGACCTCTGAGAATATTGTACAGCAAGGCATGAAAGAATAATCTAAAGATGTTCCAATTCTCATATATTTTGAGGCTGTACATGCATTACTTTACCTATATCTTTTTCTCTATCTCCATAAAACCTTCCTGCTCCTATGCGAAATTTACCATAATCTGATCTGTGTTTAGACTGAACCCACCGCTTTTGCCATTCATCTGAAAAGAGAAAAATACAGTGTTATTTAAAAGGCAGTAACAAAAATCCACATTATGTTAAGGCATGGCTAAAATGTGTGTATGCATTCTCAGTGACACCATTTGACACCTTCATGAGAAGCAAGGATTTGATAGATATTTCTTATTTAATTAACTGACAAAAACATAATTACAATAGAGCAGCCATACACATCATCTGCATCTTTCTTATTCTCATCTGTGTAAAGCTATGACAGCACATTTTTAAAGGTACAATTGCTAAAGCTTGAATTAAATTTGATTAAAAACAACCCTATGAATTAAAAACAAACTCCATCATTTTACTCAGAAATGCTTAGGTATCACAACAGCTTATATTTAATCCCATTGACATAACTGCTCATGGTCCCAAGAGATCACCAGTGCATGTTGTATCATGTTGATTAACTGCTTGGTGTACAGTATGTCCTGTTTAAATCACCAAATGAAAGCAAATGCAAGCAAAAGAAAACTGATTCAATTGAATCTCCAATCAGTGATGTTATAAGTAAGTTTCAGCATACTCAAGGGTAACTCAGGATGAAGACAATTTAGTCAAAATAAGCTCCTAGAAAGGGCAAATCATAAGGGGTGGGAATGGTTCAAGCAATCTGTTTCCCCGTGGGATACAAAGAAGAGAATGGAGGAAGAGAGGAAAGACATATAATCTTCCCTCTTTTATTTTGTCTTTTCATTCCTAGGAAACAAATCTCCAATATTAATAAAACAAAGCAAAAATGAAGTAAAATGTTACTTATGTATTTGGCTTTATCTCCATATGCTAAAATATTATAAATAAAGCTGCAGTAAGCATAGGAATGATAAACAGTTAACATTAAATAAATATGTTGAACCTAGGACAATTAAAGCCTTTTTTTATTAACATAAAGAACACAAACAACATTTTATATAAAATGGTATGTTAAAGAGAAATATTGGAAATGTTTATTCAAATCTGCTTTGCAACCCAATGTTGGCTATCTGATCATATTTAAATAGATAATAATATCAAACCTAGATACACCATTTCCACGGTCCCTAGATATACCAGTATAAAATGCTGCTTCCTTTTGTTCAACCAGTTTTTCTCTCAATTTCCTCTCCTACTCTCAGAAATCTTCTTAAAATCTAATTTTCTCTCATATTGCCATTACTTATCATTCTTTAAGATTCTCCACATGTAAATCAGAAGATACAGGAGATATTTTGTAACCACTTATCAATTCATTTTTATTGCACTTCACTAGAACATTAAACAAAAATGGGTTATAAGAACGAAGGAGACTATACAAATAAAAAAAGACTGTGATATGTCAATATTTTCTTTCTAGGAAAAAAAAGACAAAATACCACTTACCCTCATCATCAAATTCTTCCCTAAAATACTCTTTTATTACAGAATGTGGCTGCTTTGCTTTTCCAGAAGAGTTTTCAGTATTTTGAGCTAGTTTTTGAGATACAAGCCCCATCAAAAGGGTCCCTAAGCAAATCAACTTGATGATTGATATCATAGTAATATTTCAGAGAGATTTCTAAATTTTGCAACAACTCCAGTAATTTTTGAAATCTCTTAATATTTTTCTTAACCCAATGCCACTACAGCCATCACACTGATAAGCAAGCAAACTGAGTCTTCCCATTGGCTAGTATCTTTGAATAATTATGCTACGGGGACCAACCAAAAGGAAACACGCAACTGAAAGAGCATAGACATTACCTGGAATGTCTCAAAGGGTTTTAGAAAACAGCATACTGTGATCTAATTCAGATGAATTCAAACTCATAAAGCATATCGGCTTCCTATTCTTTGGAAATCTAGCTAGTGTTCTGCAATCGGAAATATTTTTTAAATGTAACTGCATTGTTAAAAATTCAGGTTAAAATGTCCTAATTTAAAAATGTTTAAATCTATAAAATTATGAAATATGACTTAAAATTAAAATAAGTAACAACTTTCCATTGTCTATTCACAATTGTTCCATTTCTGAGTGTGACATCCCCTTTTGCTCCATGGTCCTGTACTTTTATGCAGTAAATCTATAGGAACATACTGAGGCCCCTTTCACACAGCTGTATAAAACCCACATTGAACTGGATTATATGACAGTGTGGACTCAGATAAAGCGGTTCAAAACAGATATTGTGGATTATTTGCCTTGATATTCTGGGCTATAGGGCTGTGTGAAAGGGCCCTGAGTTATATCCAGTAATATCCAGCCTAACCAGGCAGTTCAACCATCTCCAGTATAGCAACTAGAAAACCTTCTAGAATCAGGTTTGGTTACCATGGCAGGCCGAAGCAGGGGAAATAGAAAATCTTTCTACTCTGATAGCTAAGAAAACATTTGATCAATCCATTGTCCTTATTTTTAATTACTGTGGTACAATGCATACATATTTAGGTCATTTCTGAAGAAAACAAGATAATGACGTAAAAGAATTTTATTTTACACTTGTTTACACTGATAAGTAAGGTACTGAATGGAATTCCCACGAGAATTAGAATAATAAAATTGAGCTGGAATAGTTGAGAGTGTGAGAACAATGTCATAGCTTTTTAAATCTAGTCAATAAGAATAATTGTGTGGTTGGGAGACTTAAAAATGTAAAACTGCCCATGTAGGAAGTAAAACAAATGTGTATCCTTGCATGGAGAAATTGCATTGGTAGTTGTAGTGAGGCACCAGCTCTTTGGCAGAGAAGGCTAAAAACCACCAAAACTTCAGCTCCCATGATCCTATATCCCAATGGCCAATGCAGTTAAAATGGTGTCAAACTACATTATTTCTACATTGTAGATGCAGCCTTTTGTTCATTGTAAGTATTTTAACAACAATCAAAAGCCTGAGTATTTTATGATCACTTTGAGACACCCCTTCCCTACAATATACTTACAAAACTGAGCACTTTGTGGGTTAAAACTAGCATATTCAATTGACCTTAAAAAGGGTCATATACTCTGTACTCCAGCAGTCTTCAAGCATATCCTAAATACCACTGCAATCTGACATTTTGTATCAGCACTAACTTCTGCATGCAACTGCTGTTAATCAACAAACTTGAATAACTAGAACCAACAGATCTCTTTAACGGAGTGTTTTTAGTAGTCTAATAAATTACTGAACAACTGAGGGCAGATGTATTTCACATTATGATGAAATTACATCTTAAACAGGAGAGACCAGTCACGAAATAGTGACAGTGATTAGAGAAGTGGTTGAATTTGATGATGCTTAACACTTTCACCATTTCCTCTTTACTCACTTTAAAGCACATGCTTTCTGCAATACTGTATCTGGAGTGGAGCCTCAAATACAATCAAATTCAGTGGAACTGAATTCATTTAGATAACTCACCTTGTTTCTGGAATTAAACACACCATGTTCATCTCAGCCATTTAATCCATTCTTATGTTTTCCTGACTGGATACCATTTTAAGTTTTAAAAAAGCAGTTGGCAATAGTCTGTTAAAAATTAAAACACAGCATTAAGAACCACATTTTGACCTCTCTTATTTCCTCTCCAATGAGAACATAAATCCAAGTGACTTGAGCAGAACATTAAAAGGCTTTTCATGAACACTCCATAGGAGCAGAGCCTTGGTTAAAAGCTAAAGGATGGAGCAAACACAAATTTAAATGGCCATGAAGATGTATATGTATGTATATACATCTTCATATATACTGTATATGACACAGTTGAGTCTCTAAAAAGAACTGAGTTTTTATTTTCCAGAAATCTACAGTACTCTAAAACCCAAAACTTGTTGCTGCTGTCACCTTTCCACGTTTGCGGAAAAGCAACAAGTTATAGGACTGTACTCTTTCTCAAAATATAGTCTGGGAGCAATATTAGAGGGGCCAATAACATCACTTCAGAGGTGCATTTTTTGCTCATCCTTCCATGTAATACAGTAGACTCCTCAGATAACCAAAATGGTCAATCAATGGCAAAACCGGTGACCCTACATTATTCACAAAGCTATTTTTATGATACAGTACATAAAACTGTGTTACACTAGGTTAAGTTTGCCTCTATTTGATCTTAATTGCTGTTTTTTAACAATATTAATATGAAAATACAGAATTTATGGTATGGGATAGTATGGGGTATAATATTAGTTAGGCCTAATTTTAAGAGTAACTCTCAAGCAACCAGAAATTATACTTATTCGGCATCTATCAATCCCCTTGAGTGCTGGTTAATGGAGTGTCTACTGTATATGCCATTCCATGCTAGCTTTACATCTGATGCAGATGTCCTGTAACAAACTGTGTAAATATGCTTTAATGTTGTTAACTCAGACTTTTGTCTGACCCATGAAAGAGACTTCTAAGGACACACACTGTAGAATGAATCCAGTTTGACACCACTTTAACTGCTATGGCTCGATGCTATGAAACCATGGAGTTGCTGTTTAGTGAGGCACTCTTGGTTAGAGAAGGCGGTACTGTTCCATTATCTGGACAAAGGCCAAAAGGGGGTGCTAGACAGAGAAGGATAGTCCATTTTATGGGGTAGAGGGTAGGTTGAAGGAGTAAAACCATTTTGCCCTGTTTTCCTGTTATTTCCCCCACCCATGGCACTCTCCTGGAAACTATTGGGGATAATGGATCATGACCTGTTAGGATTACTGACCATCGGAGTATAGGTCATGAACTGTTAGGATCACGACCTAATCAGAGTAACAGAGTTTATTTGGTATAAACTCTGGGCATGTAGATATTTTGTTTTTGTTTGATGCTTTCAGCAAACAATGAGGCAAGCAGACATCTTTCAAAGATAACAAGTTTGTTTACTGATAACTTCATGTACGAGGGTGAGCCAAATTTGGTGATACTAAATGAGAAACTCCCCCCTGGGCACACAGAAAACTGGGCGACTTGGAAGGCGCTGACAGAATGCGCTCTGGCACCACGAGATCCAGAGCCAACCTTAAGAAATGGGGCTACAAAGTGGAATCCACGATATGCGAGTGTGGAGAAGAGCAAACCACTGACCACCTGCTGCAATGCAACCTGAGCCCTGCTACATGCACAATGGAGGACCTCCTTGCGACAACACCAGAGGCACTCCAAGTGGCCAGATACTGGTCAAAGGACATTTAATCAACTACCAAGCTTGCAAACTTTGTGTTTTGTCTGTCTGTCTGTTTGTTTGTTTTGTTAAAAATGTAATACAACTATCTGGTTGCTCCTGACACGATAAATAAAAATAAATAAATAAAGCCATTGATTGAGGTTCTGGGTTTGAGCCTGCCACCTTTGGACTCTTGCTTGCTGAGGTGTTCCAGCGAGTGTCTCTGTAGATCTTAGAAAACTATTTCTTGATTTAAGTCGTTGACGTGCTGGCTGATACCTGAACAGGGGATGAGCTGGAGATGTCACTGCTTTGGTCCTTTCACTATTGGCTGCTACTTCCCGGCGGATGTCAGGTGGTGCAATACCGGCTAAGCAGTGTAATTTCTCCAGTGGTGTAGGGCGCAGACACCCCGTGATGATGCAGAATGTCTCATTAAGAGCCACATGTACTGTTTTAGTGTGGTGAGATGTGTTCCACACTGGGCATGCATACTCAGCAGCAGAGTAGCATAGCGCAGATGTCTACACTATAGAGTTGGAAGAGATCTCATGGACAATCCAGTCCAACCCCCTGCCAAGAAGCAAGAAAACGGCATTCAAAGTACCGACAGATAGCCATCAAGCCTCTGTTTAAAAGCTTCCCAAGAAGGATCCTGGAGCCTCCACCACACTCCAGGGCAGAGAGTTCCACTGCTGAACGGCTCTCACAGTCAGGAAGTTCTTCCTAATGTTCAGATGGAATCTCCTCTCTTGTAGTTTGAAGCCATTGTTTCGCGTCCTAGTCTCCAGGGAAGCAGAAAACAAGCTTGCTCCCTGAAAGATGCAGCCACCTCTCTTTACTCTTTCCAGGCATTTCCCTAACGCCTCCGAATGGGCGCGCGCTCCCCCTAGTGGCTTCTTCCCGGTTTGACAAGCGCGCGCCCAAGCCACGCCCCCTCCCCGCCCCTCAGTTGTTTGCTTGTTTTTTTTCTCGCCTGACGTGACAGCCGTATAAGCCCCTCCCCCGTCTCGCGCTGCTTCACTCAGGCGTCGCTTCATTGACGGGTCCCCCAGCGCGCATGCGTGCCTTCCTCCTCTTGCCTTCTCCCTCGCTGGCCCCGCCAGGCCTCCCTCCAGGCCCCCTCGTTCGCTTCCCAGTGGCATCTTACCGGCTCCCAAGATGGCGTCCATCATGGAAGGCCCGCTGAGTAAATGGACCAACGTGATGAAAGGATGGCAGTACCGCTGGTTCGTGCTCGACTACAACGCGGGGCTGCTCTCCTACTATACGGTGGGTGCCACTAAACGGGAAGGCCCGCGTTGGGACCAAGGCCAAAGGGAGTCGCGGCGGTTGTTTGGGGGCCGAGGGGGGAGGGAAGGGAGCGGCCTGACAGGGGTTTCGGAGAGGGGGCGTGTCTTCGTCTGAGAGAGGCCAATAGGAAAGGGGGAGGTCTTGCCATTAGCCAATAAGAGTACAGCGTCGGGAGATTGGCGTGGAAGGGGGCGTGGATAAGAGTCTGGTTTAACTTGCCGCGACTGAAGTAGGGCGAGGAGCGAAACTCGGGGCCTAGGCCTCGGGAGTTGTTGTTCTTTTACTAAAAGGGACTTTAATGGAGAGGAGGCTTTTTCGGAGTGGGACGGAGAGTGGAAAAGCTGGAGGGAGGGCTGACTGAAGCGGCAGGACGGGGCTCCTCTCCGAGTTGCCTTTCTCTGGTGTGTTAGGGTATTCATTGCTCTTAGAGCAGGCATGGGCAAACTTGGGCCCTCCAGGTGTTTTGGACTGCAACTCCCACAATTCCTAACAGCCTTAAGCTTAAGCGGCTGAGGGGGAAAAGGAAGGGGCCTGAGGCTGTTAGGAATTGTGGGAGTTGCAGTCCAAAACACCTGGAGGGCCCAAGTTTGCCCATGCCTGCTCTAAGAGCAATAAATACCTGGAGGGTCCAAGTTTTACCATGCCTATATTATATATACATTTATTTACGGTCAATGACCAGCACCAAGAAATGTACAAATGTCAGAATAAGAACATAAACATTTAGGCATTAAGAAACAATGTCAAAAGCAAAGTTAAAACCCAGTATTGACTAGGATAGTTAAAACAGTATTAAACATTTATATGCCAAAATGACAATGGTAAAAACTGAAGTAAATATTAAAACCTTCAAAGAGTGTGGCAGCATCTTGCGACGAGAAGCTGTTGCTGCTGCACAAAAGCTAGCAACCTTAGCAGTATTTTTGGGGTGTTGGTCAGCCAAAAGATAATCAACATAAAACCTTACAGATCTCCCTGGTAAACTTTCTAAAACAGGGTTTATAAAATGTTTACGAGGGTCTCGGTAAAAAGAACAGTACAACAAAACGTGTTCCAAAGTTCCACTGCCTCAGCCTCATAGGGACATAATGCCTATGTTAGAGTATTAATATTTTTATCTCGCATACCTCTTAAAGGAGACTCAAAGCAGCCAACAATGCTTAAACATATACAGTTGAAAACTTCCAGAATAAAAAACACTAAAATAGATTTAAACACGGAAAAAACTATTAATAAATAATTCAAACTGGTATGAACCCATTAAAATGCATATACAGCTCCCATTCAGGCTCATTCTTAGAAACTCTCTTATTTTAAAACCTGCCCGGATAGAATTGATCAGTATTTTTCAACATGCCTAATGCCATGACACCTTAATACCTTTGCTCATGTTATGGTGATCCCCAACCATAAAATTATTTTCTTTGTTACTTCATAACTGTAATTTTGCTACTGTTATGAATTGTAATATCTAATATCATTCACTGGACCACATTTGGCACAAATGCCCAATATGTCCAAATTTGAATCCTGGTGGGGTTGGGGTGGGGGATTGATATTGTCATTTGGGAGTTGTAGTTGCTGGGATTTATAGTTAACCTATAAATAGTTAACCTATAATCAAAGAGCATTTTGAATTTCACCAGTGTTGGAATTGAATCAAATTTGGCACACAGAACTCCCATAACCAGTAGAAATTACTGGGTTTGGGTGAGTGTTGACCCTAAGTTTTAGAGTTGTAGTTCATCTACATCCAGAGAGCACTGTGAACTCAAATGATGAATCTGGACCAAACTTGGCACAGATACTCAATATGCCCAAATGTGAACACTGGTGAAGTTTGAAAAAAATAAACCTTGAGATCTGGGAGTTGTAGTTGGTGGGATTTATAGTTCACCTACAATCAACAAGCATTCTGAACCCCACCAACAGTAGAATTGGGCCAAACTTCCCACACAGAACCCACATGACCAACAGAAAATACTGTGTTTTCTGATGGTCATTAGTGACCCTTCAGACCCCCCCTCATGATCTCTCCCCCAGGGGTCCCAACCTCCAGGTTGAGAAATGCTGGAATAGGTAATAAAAAGGACAGGGTAGCAAGTTAAGCAGCTGTCTTCCTGTTTTAGATTTTGGGGCCTCATTAATGAAGGTAATCTTGAAAGTAAGCTCATTTGAACTCAGTGAGGAAACTTCTGAACAAACAAATAGTCTGTCATGCACTTTTTGGTTCTTTTCAAGGATCAGAATTTTTTGGTAGCTGATAGCTGTATAGAACCCAACTTTGATAGAGGTATAAGACACGTTTGGGGGAAAGAGCCAACAGCAGCAACAGATACAAGAGTATCATAGTGACTATTTCGTTATGTCATAAAGCCTCCTCCCTCCCCTGCTTATCCCATAATAATAAGGCTGTCTATGTTTGAAGTACCACAAAACTGTTTTTTTCCTTCCCCTGCTGGGAAAGGCTCCCCTTATTGTAGCACCCAAGCTGCAGGGAAGGCCAGGAAAAAACTCACCTATAGTCAGAGCATGGTGTGGGCAGCCACCTGCTATCATTTGTACCCAGCATCTAGTATGGAGTGCTTTGTATTTTAATTTGTCTTTGATGTCTGGAAGTACGTAATCAAATACTTCCACTATGTTTCCAGGGGTTCCTTCATAATAACGGAGTCTGAAAATAAAGTTTTGATTGTTCTAATTAAGCACAATTCAGTTAAATTGACTGCTGATACTTGTCCTATGAAGGCATGATGGTTAGCAGGGCTCTGTGTAAGAAGGATCCCATTAGCATTTAGCTTGGTTAATCCGAATTTACTGTATGCTTTCTAGTTTAAGTATTACAGAAGGATGGGTAATCTGTTGTGTTATACTAACTTATCTGGAGGAAGACACATGATCCATGTCTAGATCAATTATATTGCTTTCTTTTCTACTTCTTCAGTTCTATTGTATCGTTTATTGGAATGGAATTGTGGAATTGTACACATCAAGCAAGATGCAGTTGCATTATATAGTTTGAAGTAGGTGTACCAGTTGTAATGTTTGTTTCTTTTTAAAAAAAAGTTGTGTCCCATATTTTCTCAGCTTCAGAGGAGGGTAAATTAAATCTCCATTGAACAAATCTTGACAAGAAATCCTGTGATAGGTTCACCTTAACTTTGAAATGACTTGAGAACACATAACAACCAATCGCTTGAGCTTTTTTGTAAGTACTGTATCAAATTCTTACCTCCCGAGAACAATGGTTGCAATATTATTTCTTCTCTTCCAATGGCTGCCAAGATGACTTGTAATACTTTAAAAACCCAGAACAATTCTAAAAATATCCCTAAAAACCAATAGGCACAATGTTTGGTCAGATAGAAACATTAATAGAATACTCAAAACAGGAACACCAGATAATTTAATCTTTGTTGATAGCATAGTGAAAAAGATGTTTATAAGCTTGTTTTCTCTTAAAGGCAAGAGATTATAGCCTGTCTTTCTCCTGGGATGAGATCCAAGGCAGTTTACAGAAATATAAAAGAAATTTATATTTAAAAACACTTATTCTACAAAAGTTTAAAAAGGAAACTATTTTCCACAGCCTAGGAGCAGCCGTGAAGAAGGTCTTTTCCTGTGTCCATCAGTGCCAGTGGAGGTGTTGGGACTAAGAGAAAGTCCTCCCTTCAGATCTTAAAACTCATACTGATGTTGCAGCTAACAAAGAAAAAGACCCAGGCCCTTATTATATACTGGTAAAATAGAAAGTCAGGTTGATTAGTAACAACTAAGACTGTGGCATTGTCTGTATAATATAACTACCACGTGTGCGGAACCAATAACTCTTGTCTTTTTGATCCATATCTGATAAGATATGTCCTCTTTGGGCATTTTCTAAATCCTTCTGCTGGAAGACTTCATTCAGTAGAGTTTGGAATTGCCCCCAGTTGGATAGAGGCAGTTATGCTGCATTATTATTTGAATATGATATATGGAGAGATTATATCAGTCCTACCACTTAGTGGTTGGAGTGTATGTCTGTGTTAGAACAAGTCATTTGACATTAATCCTAAACTATGGCTTTCACTGATTGGTGGGAAAAGTGAAACCTAGCTGAATGAGAATGCTATTGAGGATTGATTCACAGGATGCTGAAAGTTGAGGTTAGTTTTGCAGAGTACCGGTAGTTAATTTACTGTATTAGTAGTTAAAATACACAGCCACAATCAATCTATTTATCCAGTCCTTTTCTTTCTTCACTGCTACCATAGCCTTTTCTTTCTGCTGTCACCGTCCAGCTGGCATGGTCTCTCAAAAGGATTTTGTCCCATGATAGCTGCATAGGAATTTTGAAGGCATAGGCATTGCCTTATCTAATAGGATATATTTAGACCTTCAGGTTTTGTTTAGTTCTGTATATTAGAAGAAGGAAATAGATTACTGCCATATACAAAAAGTAGAGTCTCTAAAGGTAGCAGTCATATAAAGGCAACACTTCCTGCTGGAGTGGTATGAAAGGTATGTGAGGTTACTATTGTGGTTTGTTAGTAGGGGTACAGCGACAATTAGTACTAGTAGAAACATGCAAAAATCGACACTCCTCACTATATTTGTTTGGATCTATATCTTCACAAAGGAAGCTAGCAAACCCACAGACACTGGATCCTTTCTGATAGGCATGCAGAGACCATAGGCATTACTTCTTTTTTTGTCTAGATAGGTGATCAAGTCTTAGCTATTTTGTCTCCAACCCAGGGCTTCTTTCAACATGTTTAGGTTCCTGTGTATTTCTTGATTCACTGTACTTTCTTTATATGCTACCAAGTGCATACTAACATAGGAAGCTGTTCATATCAGAAGAAGGAGAATAAATGTTATGAATGAAGATATATTTGCAAATGCTTGACTGATTTGCAATAGTGATTTCTGGCTTTCAGTACTTTTACAAGA